TATATATATATATATATATATATATATATTTCTGTTTAGCTTTTTTATTATTCATATTTCAGTTTTAGTACTTGAAGTAATGTTAATCCTGTCCTGTACCCACAGCTCTGTGCACCGTCCTGCTGCTGTGTGAAAGACTGTTCCTGGATCAGCCACAAAGACTCAACAACAGCAAGTCTCAGTGAGTCGCTGCCATTTCCCCTGGAATGTTTTGCGTTGGATATAGTTTTTCATTAAATTTAGGAATTCATTATTTTTTCCTGTGTTCTAATTCACACACACTTTTATTTAATTATTTGTTTGTTTGTTAGTTTATTTCATCACTAGGATCACTAAAAGTTGACTATGATATGCAAACTAAAGCTTAATGGGATCTTTAAAAAAAAGAGTTTCATGAGTTTAAGAATTCACTGAAGCCACTTACTGTTTTGTTGTTTCTATTTTAAGATTTTCGTATAATATTTATATTTTATTTCAGTTTTATTTCTATTAATAAAACAATTTTTAATAGTTCATTTTAGTTAACAGTAGGGCTGCACGATATATCGAAAATAGCGAAATATCGCGAATGTAAATATTGCGATATGCATATCGCAACGGCGTGCGATATCTGAATCATTTTAATAATAGGCTACTTAAATCAAAACGTTGCAAAAGGTCAAAGTTTTAGTTCGACGCATATAGCAGAGAATAGCTTGATACAAAGAGTTAAGTGCAATAAGTTGCATAAAACAACTCTTTGGCGTCTCGTCTTGCTGTCTGACTCACACCTGAAGCCCGCGCACATTCAAACCGCATCTCACGCAGCGTCTCTTCAGTTCTGCCGCACACATGCAAAGCGCGCACGCACACACAGAGAGACGCGTTTCAGACCGAGTTGATTCATCTTTCGCATCTCCTCCTCCTCATGTTTGACAGACACATACACACAGAATTATGTCAATAGTACCCGTCTCGACGATCATTCTCGTAAATGCAGTCAGTTATGTTTTAAATGAATGTAAACCGCTGAGAAAGAAATCGGATGTGTATCATTATACTGGATCCGTGCAGTCGGATTTAAAGAGACAGCGGCCTATAAATACCTGCTGCTGCATATGTCACTAATGTTAATCAAACAACAAAACTGTGAACACTATGCAGTGTTATTTGACACTTAATTATTACATTTCTGTATCTGAATACTACTGTTTATTTTATCTATGCTTGTAAATTGTGTATTTGTTCTTTTCCCCCCCTTTTTCTTTCTTTTTTTTACTGACCGTTCACTTGCCTTTAATCATGTTTGAACTTTCTCAGACTATAGTTTTTGCTGTGGTATATGAAGAAGTACTTAAAGTGTGTGGAAAGCAAAGTCACAATGATATAAAATTAGTGTCATTCATTTTTTTTGTTTGGATGTTCACATTGATGTTAAAATGACTTTCTGATTTGTGACATTACTTTTTATGTACTGCTAAAACACTGCTGGTCACTTTCAGAAGTTGTAGTGATTCTTTCTTTTCCAAGAAAGAATATGAAACAAACTGGTTATATAATATTCATTTTTAAATATTTTAAAATATAATTTAAATAGATTTTTCACACTTTAAGCAATATCGTATCGCATTTTTAAACAAGATATCGCGTATCGCTTTTTTTTTTCAATATCGCACAGCCCTAATTAACAGTAACAATGCTGGCAATCACAATAAAACATTCCAGAGAGATGTATAATAATGTTATTAAAGCAACAAAAAAGTTCAGAAACAGAAAATTAGCATTTTAATGAAATATTTGAAACTTGACCCTCTAACACTAGCATTCGTTATGCTATTTCTATTCTATCTACTTTTTAATTTTATTACAACATACTTGTTCCTCTTAACACTAGCATTCTTTATTCTATTTCTATTATATCTACTTTTCTTTTTATTATAAAAAACTTGACCCTCTGACACTAGCACGCTCTATTCAATTTCTATTTTATCATCTTGCTTTTTTATTTATTATAAAACATTTGACCCCTTTAAAACTAGCACTCCATTCTATTTCTATTCTATACTTATTTTCTTTTATTTGTTATATATAAAAATCTTGACCCTCTAACACTTGCTCTCTCTATTCTATTTCTATTCTATCTACTTCCTTTTTTTATTTATTCTAAAACGCCTGACCCTCTAACACTAGCACTCTATTCAATTTCTATTCTATCTACTTTTCAAAAAAGAAAAAAAAGCTTGCTACATGTACTGCGTTAGACTCAAAATATATTGTTGCTCTTTTGTTTGGTTTGATTGCTTGTGTTGTCCTCATTTGTAAGTCACTTTGGATAAAAGCGTTTGCTAAATGACTAAATGTAAACATATATATTATGAAAGCATACGTTTATATACAATAATGTATAATCTTATGTTTTTCGCAAAAAGACCAATATTTATTAAGAAAGTAAATAGGGGGGTTAATTTTGATTTTCAACAATAGTGCAAAATCTTTACTTCATGTATGCAGAAGTGATCGTGTGACTCAAACGCTTGTCTGCTGTCCTCAGGATGTACCATCAGGCCACGGTGATGGTGCTGCTGTCCCGTCTGTGGCGTGTGCGTAAGCGTGCTCAGCAGGCCGTGAAGAAACTCCTGTCCTCGCTGGGCGGCTCCAGTCTGGCCCACGGCCTTCTGGGAGAACTGCGTGTCGTCATCAACAAACACAAGGTGAGGGACTGACGAGGAATTGGCCGCTTACTTCACACTGATGTGTTCAGAATTTGCTCATTTTTCTGTCTCTTGAATCAGATTCTGCCGTCAGATGTCGTTTATATGGAGACGGGCGAGCTTACAGAGATCGGCCGCTCTTATGTCGCCCCGCGGATCCTGCTGGACGCTCTGAGCGTGATCTGCTCTGTGGCGGCCCAGTGGAACGACCCGGCAGAGACTGAGAAACTGGCCCTGGATATTCTCATCGTTATCCATCATCCGTCCATCGGTCCGTCTCTCTGATGGCGTCCTTGCAGGAGTACTCCAGTAGCTGTTGTTGAATCCTGTGTTAATCGGGCTCTTTCTCTTTCAGTGGCCGTCAGGTCTGAGATGTGGCCTTCTCTGCTCTCCACGATGAAGCTGGACGCCGCTGAATTCATCGACAAACACCTGGAGATGATTCTGCCTCGCCTGCTAGAAGCCAACACAGACAATCAGGTCTGACTGACTGCGTTTAATAATCCAGCTCTGTTTTTTTAGCTCTGTAAATATATATCGTTATAAAAAAAATGCAACAATATGTGCAATGGACAGTTCACCCAAAAATTTAGTTTAGTTAGTTAAATTTTTTCATGCACTTTCATAGAGCGCATCAAATATGGTAAAACCCGGAAGCTCATACTTTTGAGCTTTCATGTTTAATTAAATATTAGATTGATTTAATAGTAATTATATTGATTAACTAAAATACATTATTTAATAAAATGCAATACTGTAAATATTTTAAATGCACAGTATATCTGTATTTTTAGCTAAGCAGAATCATGAATTTTTCTATTCTGGTTAATGATCAGTACTTTTTGTTAACCGTTTATGATATGTCTATGGAAGCTTGTTTCCACCATGGGGTTCAAAATAAAAAAGGTAATTGTGACTTTTTATCTCACGATTCAGACTTGTTTTTCCTCACAATGGGGAGTTATTACTCAAAATTATGACTAAAGTCTGAATTGTGAGATATAAAGCCAGAATCTCAAGATATAAACAAAAATTCTTGAGAAAAAAAGTCAGAAATGTGAAATATAAATGCAGAATTGCAAAATGAAAATTCAGAATTGCAAGATATTAATATAGATTTGGGTGATATAAACACGAAATAGCAAGTTTACATCTCGTAATTCATACTTTTTTTCTTCTCTGAATTCAGGTTTATATCCCACAATTCTGAGTTTATATCTGCAATTCTGAGTTTTTTTCTCAAACCTCAAGTTGATATCCTGTAATTCTGAATTTACATCTCACAATTCTGTTTCTTTTTTTCTCGGAGAAAAAGTCTGATTTGTGAGAAAGTCACAGTTTCCTATTTTATCTTTTATTGCATGCTGGGAACAAAAAAAAACTGAATTGTTAGTGATGTAAACTGATCATTCTGAGAAAAACTTAGAATTGTGAGAGCATCAGTCAGATTCTGTTTATACCTAACAATTACGACTTTTTTTCTCAGGATTTTTTCTCAAATGCAGAATTGCAAAATGAAAATTCAGAATTGCAAGATATTAATATAGATTTGGGTGATATAAACACGAAATAGCAAGTTTACATCTCGTAATTCATACTTTTTTTCTTCTCTGAATTCAGGTTTATATCCCACAATTCTGAGTTTATATCTGCAATTCTGAGTTTTTTTCTCAAACCTCAAGTTGATATCCTGTAATTCTGAATTTACATCTCACAATTCTGTTTCTTTTTTTCTCGGAGAAAAAGTCTGATTTGTGAGAAAGTCACAGTTTCCTATTTTATCTTTTATTGCATGCTGGGAACAAAAAAAAAACAGAATTGTTAGTGATGTAAACTGATCATTCTGAGAAAAACTTAGAATTGTGAGAGCATCAGTCAGATTCTGTTTATACCTAACAATTACGACTTTTTTTCTCAGGATTGTGAGGGAAAAATCAGAATTTTGTGATTTAAAAAGTTGCAATTACCTTTTTTAGGGATGCACCAGAATGAAAATTCTGGGCCGAAACCGAAAATTCTGGATGCATTTGGCTGAAAACCGAAAATGCTTTTTAATAATGATTTATTATTTTATAAAAAAAATAATTTTGTAAGACTTTTTAATTGAACTCAATAATTTTAAAGATACTGAATTCAGAAAAATGCAAGTCAATAAAATAACCACACTTTTATTGAAAGTAAAACGATAAAATTAGACCGGAAATATATTCATATTAAATATCAATATATTATTTTAATTCAGTTCTATGCAACAGAATCAGATTGAACAGATAGTCCTACAAAGCTATTATTATCAGAGCATGTGAGCAGAGCAGAGCGTCACTTTACGCCATACTACACCAATGTTACAGCACAGTAGCGCTACTGCAAACAGGAACACGTTTACTACATAGGAAAAAAACAAAAATTTTGGGATTTATGTTGGGTTTCTGGTTGACATTGTGTCTCTCTCTCTCTCTCGCCGTAGGCCGTTCAGAATGCTGTCGGTTCTCTGTCGCTTCTGTCTCCCACCAGACTGCTGCCGTGTGTCATGGATCACGTGACCCAGCGCTTGTCCAATCCGGCGCTGAGGCAGGTGACGCGTCAGGAGTATGCCATCATGCAAACGCCGGAGGGAGAACTTTACGACAAGAGCATCATTATGAGGTAAAGTCAACTGGACAAGATCGAGATGAATGAATGAGAATCACATGGATCAGGTAGTTTGTCGTAAACGTTGTTGTCTTGTTTTTGGCAGCGCTCAGCAGGAGAGCACAAAGAAAGGCAACATGAAAAGAGAGAATAAGGCGTATTCCTTCAAAGAGCAGATCATTGAACTGGAGCTTCAAGAGGTGAGAGAGAAATACAACAAATGATCCGCTCAAATAGAAAAGGAGGCGAGTCGTTTACTACTGGGTCATTCTGTGTCAAATCAACCAAATTTCAGAAACTTCCCCGTCTCAAATTTGAGATTTTGCTAATATTTTTTTCTGAAAAAAGATGAACATGTATAGTGATGAAAGCCAAAATATGAAATCCCATGGATGAATATTTATTGAGTATTCCACTATTTTGTAGAGAGGGGTCAAAATGGCAATTTTCACCTGAGATTCAGAGCCAAATTACATGGGGGTAAAAATGACTTCAGAAAGATGGCAGCAGCATCATGTTATTTTAACACAGAGATTGGTCTGTTAGTAAATTCTGTTGACTTTAGCTATCTTTGTTGCATTATGTGCCAATGGTGACCATTCAAAAATTGATTTTTTTCTGAAAAAAGATGAACATGTATAGTGATGAAAGCCAAAATATGAAATCCCATGGATGAATATTTATTGAGTATTCCACTATTTTGTAGAGAGGGGTCAAAATGGCAATTTTCACCTGAGATTCAGAGCCAAATTACATGGGGGGTAAAAATGACTTCAGAAAGATGGCAGCAGCATCATGTTATTTTTACACAGAGATTGGTCTGTTAGTAAATTCTGTTGACTTTAGCTATCTTTGTTGCATTATGTGCCAATGGTGACCATTCAAAAATTGGGACGTTTTGCATGCCTGTAACTCAGGAAGTATTAAAGATATCTTAATGCCCTTTTAGATATTGGGTCTTAACAAACATTACTAGTCATAGTCATAGTAAAAAATAGTAATGAATGAGTATAAATATTTCAGCAATTTTTGTGCATCTTGCAATTCTGTATCATTTCTACATATAAAAAAGTATCCTAATAATAATTTAGTGTGTTTATCATGATGACAAAATAAAATGTTAAATTATAAATATATTAAAGATATTTAATAACTGAGATAAGAAGGAGATGATGCAGAACCAGCTGGAGAAAGAGTCTGGCATCCGTGAGCGTTTGCAGGAGGTGAGAGGTCATACGGTACCGAAGGTCACCTGAGACACAGCCGTTAGCGTAAACAAACCACTGAGCCGCGGCTCTGTCTCTCTTGAAATAGTAATGAATGAGTATAAATATTTCAGCAATTTTTGTGCATCTTGCAATTCTGTATCATTTCTACATATAAAAAAGTATCCTAATAATAATTTAGTGTGTTTATCATGATGACAAAATAAAATGTTAAATTATAAATATATTAAAGATATTTAATAACTGAGATATATTCCCCCAGTTTCACAGACAAGGCTTAAGCCTAGTCCCAGACTAAAATGTAAGTCTGAGCTGTTTCAACTGAAAGAAACTTGCACTGATTGTTCTTCAAATATATCAATGCCTTTGTTTAGTCTCAAGAGGGACACCAGTAATGTTTTTTTGTAAGGCACATTTATAAAAATTACTTAAATGTCCTAACTGAACTGTGGCCTAATCCTGGCTTAGTCTAAGCCCTGTCTGTGAAACCAGGCCATTAAAATATTTAATAAACATTTTATGTAATTCTAACATGTATGTTTTTTATATATAAAATATACAGTGATAATTTAATGTACATCTTATCTGTTTGATTTATTGTATATTATAATTAAGCATATATATTTATGTGTATGTATATAATTATATATTTATTAATATATAATTAATAATATACAATAAATAGAATAAAAATTATATTGGTATATTTTATAATTATAATAATTATAAATTGATCAAATTAAATGTGGTAGAATTAAAGATTTTAAATTAAAATATAAGAAATTAAAAGCCTGTAATTTAAATGTCAAAACTTTTGGCAGTCAGATCAAAATACATAAAAATTCTGGGCTGATATTTCATCTAGTTAATCAGTCACACTGGATCTGAATCAAGTGCTTTGCATTGTGGGATACAGTATCAGGTGCAGTGCGTTCAGTTTAATACTGCACATCTGATTGAGCTCCCCCTTGTGTTTGTCTTGTAGGAGATCAAGAAGAAGAAAGGCATCAAAGAGGAGATCCAGCTGACCAGCAAGCAGAAGGAGATGATGCAGAACCAGCTGGAGAAAGAGTCTGGCATCCGCGAGCGTTTGCAGGAGGTGAGAGGTCATACGGTACCGAAGGTCACCTGAGACACAGCCGTTAGCGTAAACAAACCACTGAGCCGCGGCTCTGTCTCTCTTGTTCTCTCTCAGCTGGACGTGGAGCTGCAGTGTGCGGTCAGTCTGCTGGAGGCGGCTCTGGCCCGTCGTCCTCCTCTGATCTGGATGCATCTGCCTGGAGTCCTGCAGGCTGTTCTGCCCCTCCTTCAGTCTCCTCTGGCTGCTCCCCGCGTCAAACAGGTCTTCCTGCACATTGGCATCACTCTCATGCCTAAAGAACTGCACTACCTGGGTATGCTTTCCTTTTCTTGTTTGTTTATAACTTTGTTTACTCTTATTAAATGTCTTCATTTGTTTTTAGAGTTTTTTCCCCCCATATAAATTAAGCTTTTTTTAATCAGTCACACTGGATCTGAATTAAGTGCTTTGCATTGTGGGATACAGTATCAGGTGCAGTGCGTTCAGTTTAATACTGCACATCTGATTGAGCTCCCCCTTGTGTTTGTCTTGTAGGAGATCAAGAAGAAGAAAGGCATCAAAGAGGAGATCCAGCTGACCAGCAAGCAGAAGGAGATGATGCAGAACCAGCTGGAGAAAGAGTCTGGCAACTGATTGTTCTTCAAATATATCAATGCCTTTGTTTAGTCTCAAGAGGGACACCAGTAATGTTTTTTTGTAAGGCACATTTATAAAAATTACTTAAATGTCCTAACTGAACTGTGGCCTAATCCTGGCTTAGTCTAAGCCCTGTCTGTGAAACCAGGCCATTAAAATATTTAATAAACATTTTATGTAATTCTAACATGTATGTTTTTTATATATAAAATATACAGTGATAATTTAATGTACATCTTATCTGTTTGATTTATTGTATATTATAATTAAGCATATATATTTATGTGTATGTATATAATTATATATTTATTAATATATAATTAATAATATACAATAAATAGAATAAAAAACAGGTCTTCCTGCACATTGGCATCACTCTCATGCCTAAAGAACTGCACTACCTGGGTATACTTTCCTTTTCTTGTTTGTTTATAACTTTGTTTACTCTTATTAAATGTCTTCATTTGTTTTTAGAGTTTTTTCCCCCCATATAAATTAAGCTTTTTTTTTTAATGCAAGTGCATGTTTAATGCTGCCCAGACAGATATTGTATATTTGGTTTAGTGTGTTATTGTGGCTCAAGTGAATATGCATTTGTGTAAATTAAATTAGATGTAAAAAAATATATATATTTCAACCGCCAAAATAATTGACATTTCTAAAGAAAAAAAAATCAATTTGTCTAAAAAAAAAAAAGTAATGTTAAAACACAATTTACATTTATAAATGAATATTAGTTTGTTTAAATAAAGTATTATTTTAACAGATAAAATAATTTACATTTCTAAAAGAAATATCCATTTGTTTGTCGAAATGAAGTAATCAAAACATTATTTCATCAGTAAAGGTAATTTACATTTCAAAAATGAATATTCATTTGTGTAAATAAAACAAAATAAAATAAAAAATATAATATTTCAGCAGCTAAAATATTTGGCTTTTTTTAAAAGATATGCATTTGTGTAAAAAGAAAAAACTAAAATGTACTTTTATAAAGTGAATATGCATTTGTGTAAATCAAATAAAATTAAATAATACAATTTTAAAAGTCATATAATCAGCTAGAAATCTCAAAATTTCTATACAATGATTTTTATGTGCCTTATAACAGCAGTAATGAGCTCCTGGAAAAATCATCAAAGTGTTTCATTAAATGTCTTCACTTTACTGTTTTAACTTTATTTAGTTCCTTTGTTTTATATATTAATGATTCATGTAAGTTAGTTTTAATGCAAATGCATGTTTAAAGCTGCCTGAGATAATTTTTGCATGCGTGAATAACCATTGTCATACCTTTGGTTTCATGTGCTTCAAATAGGTGTTTTTCTCTGTTTATTTAGCAGTTCTCGTGGGTCATGTGACCTTGCGTCAGCTGAAGCCAGAGTGTGATTTGGATCCTGCCTGGGCTCAAGAAGATCTGAACACAGCGACACAACGAACCATCTCACTGCTGCACACAAACACGGCACCTCAGAGAGACGGCAAGACCGGTGAATAACGCACACCCACATGTGGGACAGTCATCAAAGCTAAATTACGACTATGGCAAGCCATGTTAACATTAAATCTATAAATCATCCCAGTATCTGTTTTCATGCTACTAGTACTTCCATTAGGTACTAGTACTTTTTCATTAGCTACTAGTAAAGTGTTAAAATATACTAGTACTTATCTATTAGACACTAATTATTATTTATCAATATTACTCATTCATTAGATATTAGTACTTATTCATTACCTGTTATATAGATACCACTACTTATTATTAGATAATAGTACTTATTCAATAGATACTAGTACCTATCAAGTAGATAATAGTACTTATTCATTACCTGTGATATATTATTAGATACTAATGAAGTCGTGGCCTAATGGTTAGAGAGTCGGTCTCGTGACGTGCAGGATCAGGTGCATTTGTCCTGTCAGCGCCGGCGTTCTCCTTCTGTTTCCCGCTGCTGCAGGCGGTGTTGAGTCAGAGCAGCGGATCCTCAGAGGAGAGCGAGCTCATGATGACCCGCGCGCTACAGGTCATCAACACACACGCGCAGCTGCGGGCCAAATCCAACGACACGCTTGCAGACAAGGTACACTTGGGTTTTCAGCTAGTTGTTTTGTAATTGATGCATGTTTTTGATTTATTGATCTGTCAACTATGCAGTAATTGAAGTCTGTCTGGAAATTTTGACATGTGGATTTGAATTTGATTAGTTATTGATGATGAGGAATAAATTGAGGTTTATAAAGGCATGTAAATGTTCTTATATATATATAATTAAATATCATGCAAATAAATGCCATAGTTAAGCCAGTGCATGTGACTTGATTTCCTCTTATGACTTGAACTGAATGAAGGTATTATTAAATAACTGACCACAATTAGGTGCTGCAGGGATATTATGATATTAATCTGATTTTAGTTGGTTTGTGTTATGTCATGTCAGTTCAGGTATATAAAATAAATAAATAATATTCAGTTATAACTTATATAATAGTTTTATAGTATATAATATAAAAAAGTTCAAATAAAAAAATGAAATTATTAAAATTGTTCAGGTATAAAAAATAAATGACAATTTCAGTGATACAAATATACAGTTTTATCTTTATCTAAAAATATAAGATTATTGAAATTAAAGTTATATTCAGGTTTAAAATAATATAAATAATTTGTATTTAATACTTCACAAATTTTGTAAAAATATTCAGTTATACCTTTACAAGCAAATAAATTAAAAACTGAAGTTATTATTTTGAAATTATTAAAATTATATTCAGATATGAAAATGTAACAAATTAAATAAAATCCAATAATAAACTTTTCAGTTATGTCTTTATCAAGTCAAGTTGCCTTTATTTATATAGTGCTTTTAACAATACAGATTGTCAAAGCAACTTTACAGCATTAATTAGGAAAATATTGTGTCAATAATGCAAAATGACAATAGTAAACACTCATTTTTCAGTTCTAGACAGTTCATTGAATTCAGTGATCATCCATCTCAGTTCAGTTTAAATAGTATCTGTGTGATCAAGTGCAAATCTTATATCTTATATTAAATATGCAATTTAAGTAATAAATGAAAGTATTAAAATTATTCAAGTCTGAAAATGAAAATGTAATATATATTACAAATTCAATAATAAAAATATCTATAGAACATTTTAAATTATTAAAATGTAAGTTTTTTTCCTGTCTAAAAATTCAAATTAAATTAGAATATATATTAAAAAATCACTAATTAAAATGTAGCTTTATCTGTGCATGTTATTAAAGTAAAATCTCATAAAAATGTCATAAATGCACATTTATTATGATTCTATCCAAGTCTGTAGAACTGAAACCCTAACAGTTTATAATTGTCTTGTTCTGTTTGTCCAGAACGGCCCAGAGCTGCTGCCCAGAGTCAGTATGCTGCAGCTCTTGACCAAAGTGATCGGCACGTCCACCCCTCGTCTTCAGGTAGAGACTCACATCCAGATGAGTGCTCAGACGCACACTGTTTGAGGAGATGTAGTGATGGAGTGTGTGTGTGTTGTAGGTGCTGGCATCAGGCTGTCTGACGGCACTGTGTGCCAGCGCTGGAGGGCAGGAGGGATGTGCGCTCGCCGAACAGCCTGAGATTGACGCTCTGCTGGAGGCTTTACTGTCCTCGTGCTTCTCTGTCAGAGACGCTGCGCTCAGGGTCAGTGCCTTTCTCTCTCTTACACTCATGACATTATATTATGAAATCCTTTTAATGAAAGCCTGTCGACTCGCTCTTGTAGGGTCTGCTGGAGATGGAGTTGGCGTTACCCACTGATGGTGCTGATGCCAACGGTCTGAAGATGCTGAGGAGACTGTGGGTGGCCAAATTTGATGTGGAGGAGGAGGGCAGAGCTCTGGCAGAGAAGTGAGTCATGCTACATTTTCACACAAACTACAGCTTCTGGTGCAGGTCCTAATGGGAGTTTGTTTGGTGCTAAAGCTGCTTTCCAAACTCAGTAAATTTCATGGCATCAACACATCTCAAAAAAGTTGGGACAAGGCCATGTTTACCACTGTGTGGCATCCCCTCTTCTTTTTATAACAGTCTGCAAACGTCTGGGGACTGAGGAGACAAGTTGCTCAAGTTTAGGAATAGGAATGTTGTCCCATTCTTGTCTAATACAGGCTTCTAGTTGCTCAACTGTCTTAGGTCTTCTTTGTCGCATCTTCCTCTTTATGATGCGCCAAATGTTTTCTATGGGTGAAAGATCTGGACTGCAGGCTGGCCATTTCAGTACCCGGATCCTTCTTCTACGCAGCCATGATGTTGTAATTGATGCAGTATGTGGTCTGGCATTGTCATGTTGGAAAATGCAAGGTCTTCCCTGAAAGAGACGACGTCTGGATGGGAGCATATGTTGTTCTAGAACTTGGATATACCTTTCAGCATTGATGGTGCCTTTCCAGATGTGTAAGCTGCCCATGCCACACGCACTCATGCAACCCCATACCATCAGAGATGCAGGCTTCTGAACTGAGCGCTGATAACAACTTGGGTTGTCCTTGTCCTCTTTAGTCCGGATGACATGGCGTCCTAGTTTTCCAAAAAGAACTTCACATTTTGATTCGTCTGACCACAGAACAGTTTTCCATTTTAAATGAGCCTTGGCCCAGAGAAAATGCCTGCGCTTCTGGATCATGTTTAGATGTGGCTTCTTTTTTGACCTATAGAGTTTTAGCCGGCAACGGCGAATGGCACGGTGGATTGTGTTCACCGACAATGTTTTCTGGGAGTATTCCTGAGCCCATGTTGTGATTTCCATTACAGTAGCGTTCCTGTATGTGATGCAGTGCCGTCTAAGGTCCCGAAGATCACGGGCATCCAGTATGGTTTTCCGGCCTTGACCCTTATGCACAGAGATTGTTCCAGATTCTCTGAATCTTTGGATGATATTATGCACTGTAGATGATGATAACTTCAAACTCTTTGCAATTTTTCTCTGAGAATCTCCTTTCTGATATTGCTCCACTATTTTTCGTTTTCCACTATTAATTGGCCCTCCAGCTGTTCCTTATATGTACATTTAACTTTTTCGGCCTCTTATTGCTACCTGTCCCAACTTTTTTGGAATGTGTAGCTCTCATGAAATCCAAAATGAGCCAATATTTGGCATGACATTTCAAAATGTCTCACTTTCAACATTTGATATGTTATCTATATTCTATTGTGAATAAAATATAAGTTTATGAGATTTGTAAATTATTCCATTCCTTTTTTACTCACAATTTGTACAGTGTCCCAACTTTTTTGGAATTGGGTTTGTATTTAATAATTAATTTTTGATGTCTTTGGACAGCATCTGTGGAAATGTCAGAGTTATAAAATAATGTTTGTTTAGAAAATTTGTTTCTTGTTTTATTTGTTCTTTTTGTGGTTTCAATTTAATTCAGTTTAATCAGGCAATATCAGAGTTATTACAGAAATGATAGTTAATTATTTTATTTTTTATTTTAGTTAAATTTTTAGTTTTTATTTATGATTATTATCTTTTGTCAGAAAGATTAAATGTCAGAATTATTAAAAAGTTATTATAAAAATATTTTTATTTTTTATTATTATTAATTTATTTATGAAACAACTACTTTTTAGTTTTTATTATGTTTCAGCTGGCTGTTTTATTTTTATCCTTAAAACATTTAACTATTATAAGAAAAAGTTTACTTGTTTAGCTGATCGTGGCATGAGCTGAACAATATCAGTTTCCTCTTCATGGATAGAGCTTGAGAGTGATGTGATTCCTGTGTGCAGGTGTGGCATCGCTCTAGCACTCAACAAACTGGCTGAGTTCCTGGATGAGAGTCAGGTGACGCCCCTCTTCCTGTTCTTTGTGCCGGATGCTCTGAACGACAGACACACAGAGGTGCGGCGCTGCATGCTGGACGCAGCGCTGTCTGCACTCAACACGCACGGCAAGGTACTCCACCCAGCCCAAATTATTAAAAACATTTCCAACCCTCTACATTGCGAGTAAATCACTCACATATGCGACTAAATCTTACTCTGGGTGACTAAATAATGTCTAACATTAGCCATTGGCTAATAAATTCTTAGATTTTACACACCAGTATGTGTGTGAGAGGCATTCAACACAGATTTTCACTTGATAAACACGCTGACTGAGCGCTTGAGAGTTTTGCTCTCTGTCAAGCGATCTGTATTATTTGATGCGCTCAATGGATCATGTCATGTACTCAATGGATGCGCAGCAACCCTCTACATTGCGAGTAAATCACTCACATATGCGACTAAATCTTACTCTGGGTGACTAAATAATGTCTAACATTAGCCATTGGCTAATAAATTCTTAGATTTTACACACCAGTATTTGTGTGAGAGGCAGACAAGCAGACTGTTTTTCACACATGCAAAGAGAGAGAGCGAGAGTCTTGCATACCACGCTGAATCGACGCGCTACATGTAATCCATATTCTTTGTTGTATTTTCCTGTCAAAAAATAACAGTTCATTTAGAATTATTCAGCTTTTAAGAACAAGCAGACGATATGCCGGTTTCTCTGCAGTGGGCGGAGCTAATGCTAACAGCTCTCGTTGGTTGGCGCTCATCTATTACCGTCCCCGTTTTGATTTCAGCAAATCGGTTCGAGTGAACGCTGACAACGTGATTAATATTCATGAACCCAGCAGATAATAGTAGTAGTAGTAGTATCTTTTAATAATAATTAATATTACCTATGACCAACAATATCTTAAACACCACCACCAGTCCTAAGTTCAGTTAAAATGACAAATATGCATTCATTCATGGTTACCAAGTTTTAGTTCTAATCACTAGTTCTATCATTAAATAGTGCTTAATTATCATAATATCATAATATAATGCTTGATTGGCTGAAGTTAAGAGTGCACAGTCAGTTATTTAAGAAGCTGCTCCATGATAGCGAAGTAAACGTGTGTGTGTGTGTGTGTGTGTGTGTGTGTGTGTGTGTGTGTGTAAAATAGTATATCAGTCAGGCGAGTAAACAAAAAAAAATGTACTAGCCAATGGCGATTATATTGCCAAGGTGTGCGTAGAGGGTTGATTTCTGTCATTTGAAATCAAGCTGGAGCAAAACAAATAAATAAAAATAAATATTAGGTGGAAAACTTAAAAGGAAAATTAGAAACTGAAATTTGAAAGTTTAAGTTGAAGCATTAAAATTACTAACTGAAAAACAAAAACTTAACAAAAACAGAAATAAGAAGAATTTAAACCTAAATAGTAATATTTAAAGAAAAAAAATGCACATAACTGAATAGGGCTGCACAATTAATCGAAATTAAATCGCAAAGACGATAAATCACGATTAGGCAGAAGCGCGATTGTCATGAAGCACGGTTCTGTGATCAGCAGTAAATCTCCATCTGAAGACCAGAGGGCGCTCTCGCGCTGAAGCTCCAAATACGCCTCGCAGAAGAAACCCAGGAAATCCATATAGCGGTTGCTGAATAAACAGAAGATTCAACTGCTTTCATTAATTCAACGTGACTAATAAACACACGACTATGACAATATATGGTTTATCTGAGTTCGTCTTATTATCATTTTTATTATAATAAAGTATATAATAATGCAATGCTAATCGACATAACCTTTATCACTGCTAAGAATACTATGAAATATGTTGCGTGCCTTATTCTGTGTAAGAAGTAGGCTTGCCGCGATAGATGGTGCTGACGGTGATACCGTTGTTAAGCCGCAACACCGGTTACCTCACTTGCCCACCACGGCACCGACCCCCACCATCGTTTTGATTGTTTTATAGTAATAAAAATTATTTAGTTCAGTAAAAGAACAACAGACACTACAATTAAAAACTGAATGCGGCTGCTCAATGCAGCATCCCAGATCAGATTTAATTTCTCCAGTGAGGAGAGAGAGTCGAGCTGACTGACAAGAAGAGTGAGGTGAGGTGAGTCAGACAAGACGATGGCGGATGATTTAGTTTCGAAACGAAGTGCAAAAGCGCCTGTTTGGCAGTATTGTGGATTTTGAAAAGCCTGTTGACTTTTGCCGTTTGTCTAAGGTGATTTTGGATGTTTAAAAAAAAAATGTGTGTGTTATTTAATTGGTTCCACAGTGTTTGCTGATTTTTACTTTATTTAATTAGATTTAATTAATCTATTTAATTAGATTTGTGTAATTTATTTATGTTATTTGACATCAAGGTGTATGCCGTGCCTCCAAGCTTTCTTATTCGGTTTGCTAATATACGTTCTAATTTTCTTATTTATTTGGTTATATATTATACGTTTACTTATTTCCAGTTTTGTATACCTATTTAAACTTTATGCAAGTTATTTGTTATTTTATATTAAGCATAGCTTGCCCTATTGCATGGTGTATTTTTATTCGTTTTGTTAATAAAAGTTCTGTGTTTTATATATAGGCTAAAGTGAGTTTGACGTTGTATTTTGTTGTTGCATTCAAGCAAATGACGCTGAATTGCTGCTAATTCAAAAGTTTATTGAAAGTAAAATGCGCACGGCGCTTTTAAGCTATTTAAAAGCGAGGAAAAGAGGGAAAATTCAAACGAACTAAAAACGAACAATTGCTTTACGCTGAATTGCCGCTATTTGAAAGTGAAAGTAAAATGAGCACGCCGCTTTTACAAGCTATTTAAAAGCGAAGGAAAGCGAGGAAAAGAGGGAACATCGTCTCACAGAAGGATTTATTTCAAACACTCGACTAGCGTTATGAAGTGAGTTTGGACTAAACATGCTATTAAATGTGGTATTTTCACGTGCTTCACGCAAACCGCTTTCATAATCGCAGAACGTTTTCTTCGATTTCATTATCGCACGATTATATCGTCTGCTGTTTTGCGTAGCTTGTCGGTGAACTACAGCTCTGTGTAGTAAATGCCGCTCCATCTGAAAGCATGTGTTGGAGATTTACTACTAATCACAGAACCGGCTTTACTGACAAGATACGCATGACAGTCACATTCGATTAATCATGCAGCCCTATAACAGAATTACTAAAAATAAAACCAGCTAATATAATTGACATTTCTAAAGGGAATATGCATTGTGGCAAAATAGCAAATTAAAATATATTATTTTGCCTCTTAAAATAATGTATGTTTCTAAAGTGAATATGCATTTTTGTAAATGATATAAAATATAATATTTCACCAGGTAAAGTAGTGCACATTTTTTCAAAATAATGCACAAGTGAATATGCATTTACATAAAGTGAAATGAATTATAAAATAAGTAATAAACTTGAACTAAATGGAAATTAAAAACTAAAATTTGAAAGTTTAAACTGAAGCACTAAAATTACTAACTGAAAAACAAAAACTGACCTAAAGCTAAAAGTGAAAAAAAAAAAGAAACCTAAATAGTAATATTAAAATGAATAATTAAAGCAAAAGCATGCTTTATTAAAAATTTTACTAAAATTAAAAACTGAAAACAATAAAAGCTAATTAATAGTCTTAACTGACTATGTTTTTGTCTGTCAGGATAACGTGAACTCGCTGCTGCCCGTGTTTGAGGAGTTTCTGAAGAATGCGCCACAGGACGCCAGCTATGACTCGGTGCGGCAGAGCGTGGTCATCCTCATGGGCTCGCTGGCCAAACATCTGGACAAGAGCGACCCTAAAGTCAAACCCATCGTGGCCAAGCTGATCACGGCCCTCTCCACTCCCTCACAGCAGGTCAGCTCCTTCTGTGTTTGCCTGATAGTAACATCCATCCAGTATGAATTTTTCCCTGTTTTTGTTTGTTTGTTGTTTTCAACTGAATTTCAATTTTAGTTTTAGTATCTTAATTTCTTTTTTTTTGTCATTTTACTTTAATGATTAACTTTCAGCTGACTAACTGACAATTGAGTAAAGATTTGATTAGTTCTGGTGGTACTTATGAACTGGGTAATAAGTTATTAACCGAGATTTAATCGTTTTTAAATGAATTTAAATTACATGATTTTAATTATTAATAAAACAAATATACAGATATAACTGATATATTATTTATCATTTACATAATGCGACATGTTCACATCAGTCCTGAGATGTATTTCTGATCACAGCCAGCTAGGAACAAACATTTCATAGGCCCCCAATATTGTAAAACAAAATAATAAATGTGACCCTGGAGCACAAAAGCAGTAAGTCAAGTCGCTGGGGTATATTTGTAGCAATAGCCAACAATACATTGTATGGGTCAAAATTATTGATTTTTCTTTTATGCCAAAAATCATTAGGATATTAAGTAACGATCATGTTCCAGACATGATTATACACATTTAATTTAACCATTAAAACAAAATAAAATTGATTTCATAGGGCCCTTAGTCTTCTTTAAAAAATTATACCATTGCATCCGTCTCTGTGCGATCACAGATGGTCCGTTTACACCTGGTATTAATGTGCTTGTCTCTGGTCGTCCTCAGGTCCAGGAGTCGGTGGCCAGCTGTCTTTCTCCTCTGGTTCCTGCTATAAAGGAGGACGCCGGTGGGATGGTGCGGAAGCTCCTGCAGCTCCTGCTGGAGAGCGACAAATACGCCGAGCGGAAGGGAGCTGCGTACGGACTGGCCGGGCTGGTCAAAGGCCTGGGAATCCTGTCTCTCAAACAGCAGGAGATCATGACCACTCTGACAGACGCCATCCAGGACAAGAAGAACTCCAGACGCAGAGAGGGTGAGCAGAGCTGAAAACTGATAATCAACTAATGAATTCTGTTTCAGTGGGCTTTATTGGCATGGCAAATAATATATTTAAAACAATAAATGTGACCCTGGAGCACAAAAGCAGTGTTAAGTCGCTGGGGGATATTTGTAGCAATAGCCGAAAATATATTGTATGGGTCAAAATTATAGATTTTTCTTTTATGCCAAAAATCATTAGGATATTAAGTAAAGATCATGTTCCATAAAGATATTTTGTAAATTTCCTACCGTAAATAAATAAAAACGTATTTTTTGATTAGTAATATGCATTGCTAAGAACTTAATTTGAACAACTTTAAAGATGATTTTCTCAATATTTAGATTTTTTTTGTACCCTCAGATTCCAGATTTTCAAATAGTTGTATCTCGGCCAAATATTGTCCTCCTATCCTAACAAACCATACATCAATAGAAAACTTATTTATTCAACTTTGAAATTGTCAAAGTTGGACATGGTCCCTTGTGACTGGTTTTGTGGTCCAGGGTCACAAATAATATTTTTATATATATATTTATGTAATTTGTCTAATTATCTAATAATATATATATATATATAAAAAAAAGTTCCTTCTCAGACATGACCAGCTAGATAAGTAAATTCAGTTTTTAAAAATAGTTTAGTTTATTAATAATTATTAAATAAGTTAATAATAATAAATAAATAATAATAAAAATGTATAAATTAAAACAAAACAAAGACACTAGACTAAAACTATACTCGAATCAAAAACAACAATGCAAATGAAGTAAGCAAGTGATGATAAATTAAATCATGATGTATGATAAATAATGCTAAATAAATTCAACCTATCATGAGTTGTGCTGCTCATATGAGTGAAGCGGGTTCGAGTCTCGCTTGTGTGCCGCTCCTGTTCCCTACTTTTTTCCCAATAGTTCTGTCTTTTATCTTGGGTATTTGTCTATTAAATAAAGAATAAATAAAACATGCAGAGTGAAGAAAGAAAAATTCAAATTTAAGAAAAAAACCATGCAAGGAAGTTAAGTAATTAAGAGTTGAAGGTAGAAATAAGCCTGTCCTTGTCTCTGTCACAGGTGCTCTGTTTGCGTTTGAGATGCTGTGCAACATGCTGGGGAAGTTGTTTGAGCCGTACGTGGTTCACGTCCTTCCTCACCTGCTGCTCTGTTTTGGTGATGGGAACCAGTATGTCAGAGAGGTACAAACACTTTTTGTTTTCTACTTTATACTTTTTTACTCGCATCATAACTCGCATCGGTCATTTTCTAGAACCCTAACCAGCCACTGTATTTAAATTCATCGTTTTGCACAGGGTGGCCCCGCCCACAGTGAAATCTCATTGGTCCAAAATCCTGCATTACATACATTAGATACTTTAAGCATCAGACATGTTTTGATTGGCTGTGATTGTCACTTGACTGTTTTTTTGTTTTTTGCTGCTTTCAGTAAGTCCTAGTGCAAACTGCTTGACTCTCAAACTATGTGGTGCCTCGTCGAGTTGAAATGAGGTTGAAAATGAATGCATCTGTGTTTTGAAATGTTGCATGATGGTTTGCTGTGTGTCAGGCAGCGGATGACTGCGCTAAGGCTGTGATGAGGAATCTGAGCGCTCACGGCGTGAAGCTGGTGCTGCCGTCTCTGCTGATGGCTCTGGAGGAGGAGTCCTGGAGAACCAAAGCAGGTCTGCTTTGGGATGCAAAATGTTTTTTTGGGAGTATAGTGTTCAGGCCTTTGTCTACTGAAGAGATATGATTACTGTTTTATGTTTTATAGTTTTTTTTATTATAGTATATTTATTTAAATTATTATAATTGTTTTTTGTACTTATTTATTTTACATATTATTTTTTATTTATTTATTATCACGGTCTTATCAGATCATTGTTCAATTATTTATTTTTTATTATATTATATATTTATTTAAATTATTATTGTTTTTATTATAGTATATTTTATTTTAATTATTATATTTATATTTTTTTGTAATTATTATTTAATATAATTATATGTATTATTATTATTGTTTATTCATTATCACTGTCTCACATGAAAATGCATAGCATTGTTTATTTTTTTATAGTATTTTTGTTTTTATTTTTTACATATATTGCATTATTATTTTTCATTATGATATTTTTGTTTTAATTATTGTAAGTATAGTTTTTATTTTTTGTGATTACTTTTTTTTTATTAATCATGATCATTGGTTTCACATGGTAATGCAGATCGTTATTATTTAGTATTTTTATTAAATCATTTTTATAATTATTGTTTGTATTGTTTTATTTTTATTATAGTATTTTTAATTATAATGTTTATTTTTTTATTGAACATTATTGCTGTCTTACAAGGAAGTGCAGGGCATTTTAATGATAGTTTTTTAATTTGATTTATTATAATAATGTTTTTGTTATAAGAATTATTTATTTTGTATTATTAATGATTATCAGTCATTTCTAATACTCTCGGCGCTGTGTCTGCAGGGTCGGTAGAGTTGTTGGGTGCGATGGCGTACTGTGCTCCTAAGCAGCTGTCCTCGTGTCTGCCGAACATCGTTCCCAAACTGACGGAGGTTTTGACCGACTCTCATGTGAAGGTGCAGAAAGCCGGTCAGCAAGCGCTCAGACAGATCGGCTCTGTCATCCGCAACCCTGAGATCCTGGGTATGAAATATTAATGCTTAAATTGAGTGGGAGGTGCAGCACAAGCACAGTGGGGCTTTAATGCAAACGTAAAGGTTTGAACCATACATACTCAGTCACTGAACTGACATTGTGAATTGCGCAGCGATCACCCCCATCCTGCTGGACGCTTTGACCGACCCGTCTCATAAGACGCAGCACTGCCTGCAAACGCTGCTGGACACAAAGTTTGTACACTTCATCGACGCTCCGTCTCTGGCTCTGATCATGCCCATCGTCCAGAGAGCATTTCAGGACCGTTCCACCGACACACGCAAGATGGCCGCGCAGATCATCGGAAACATGTACTCACTCACTGATCAGAAGGTAGGAAGCGATACTGACCTGATTACAGCCGTGCTGTTTTATATCCTAAATACTGTGTGTGCTATAACAGGTTGATAACTTCTGGTTCCTTTGCTGGTGTTATGGAGTTCAAATTAACTTTTTGTAAACAAATGATTCAGGTTTTTTGGATTGGATGAAAAAGGTTTCTTTTTTTCTAAGAAATGAATACTTTCATTCAGCAAGGATGCATTAATTTGATCAAAAGTGACAGTAAAGACATTTATACTGTCTTTAAAATGAACCTTCTATTTTAAAAATATGAAGCAGCACGATTGTTTTTAATCTTGAAAATCAGAAATGTTTCTTGAGCAGCAAATCAGCATATTAGAATGATTTCTGAAGATCATGTGACACTGAAGACTGGAGTAATGATGCTGAAAATACAGCTGCGCATCACAGAAGTACATTACAGTTTAAAATATATTACAATAGAAAATAGTTATTTTAAATCATAATAATACTTCACTATTTCACTTTTTGTTTAAAAAAAATGCAGCCTTGGTGAGTATTAGCTTCTTTCTAAAACATAAATAAACAGTAGTTTAAAAGAAATACTAATATTGAACCAAATAAAAAAATTCCAAAAAATATGTATATATTTTTGTCATTATTTATTCAGCGATTCGTTCAGTTGTTTGTATTAAATCATATATAATAATATTTCACAGTATTACTGATTTTAATGTATTGTTTACCAAATAATGTGACTTAAGCATCCATATACAGCCTGCAGTTGGATTAATTATCTTGGAAGAATTGTTAATTTTGATTATCACAATGTGAAATATTATTAGAATCAATATGCTATAAGAAATTCTTGCGCTTCAAATAAGTAAAATCTTTTTGCTTCAGGTGCGTAGAGCCAAAAAAGTCAATGCAAACAAGCAGAAAAATATTACTAAAAATGTTTTTATAAAAGCTACAAGCCACTTTAGGCCTTATTGACACTGTAATTTTAGATGAGATCACCTCTGTGGTAAATCACTGTAGCTCACGGCCTTGAGTGGCTCCTCGCTTTAATATTGTTTTATGTGTTGTATTTGTTTGCAGGATCTGTCTCCGTATCTGCCCAGCGTGGTTCCAGGACTCAAAGCGTCTCTGTTGGACCCTGTGCCCGAGGTAATATCATCCGCACTGATCCGTGGGAACTCTTAAAGCCGGCTGGCATTAACTGTGTTATATGTGAATGTGTCTGTCGATCAGGTGCGGACCGTGTCGGCTAAGGCTCTGGGTGCTATGGTGAAGGGAATGGGCGAGTCCTGCTTCGACGATCTGCTGCCGTGGCTCATGGAGACGCTGGCATCGGAGCAGAGCTCTGTGGACCGATCCGGCGCCGCTCAAGGTGAGAGAACCATCACTGCACCATTAGAGGGCAGCAGAGAGCTGCAGCACACTCATATTACACCTCCATACTACTTTACTCTATTAATGTTGTTCTTCATTCCTCTATCTTCGTCTCTCAGGTCTGGCTGAGGTGATGGCAGCGTTAGGTGTGGAGAAGCTGGATAAACTGATGCCAGACGTGGTTCAGACGGCCAGTAAGGTGGACATTGCCTCTCACGTCAGAGACGGATACATCATGATGTTCATCTACCTCCCTCTGACCTTTGGAGAAAAATTCACCCCGTATGTGGGTCCCATCCTTCCCTGCATCCTCAAGGTGAGACGGCATGATTGAATGCATTTTAATCATTTCACATTGATTATCTCCTGCATTTTCAAATTCAAGAATATGAGCTCGAGAAGTTTAATGTAAACGGTTGAATTGTGAAAAATATATTTATTATTAAATATTTATTTTAATATTAAGAAGCGGTTTACTTAACATTCTAGAAAATAAATATTGAGATTTATTTTCTTATTAATAAATTATTATTAAACAATTAATATTTGTTTTCTTTGAGTAATGTTAAGAAATGTATTTCTTAATAATAAATTATTATTATTATTATTATTATTATTATAAATTACTCATAAGAATATGAGCTCAAAGTTTAACAAACTATTGAATAGTTAAAAATAGATTTATGAAAATGTTAATTTTAGTAAGAAAATGTTTACTTTCTAAACATTTAAGAAAAGAAATGTTGAGATTTATTTTCTTAATAATAAATTATTATTAAACAATTAATATTTATACGGTTTTCTTTGAGTAATGTTAAGAAATTAATTTAAATTATTATTAAAGTAATTAATAAATTAACATTAATTATGATAAATATATATATATTTAAAAAATTGTTTATTTGCACAATCTTTATTTGAGAGAAGGAATATTATAAAATATATAAATATATAAAATATTTATATTCTTATTAAATGTTGCTGGTTATTTCCTCTAAAGGAAAACTTTAAAATTGAGTAACTATATATATATATATATATATATATATGAGAACTACTTATTGGAGAATTATTGGTTAATATTACTAAGAAAAATATTATTAACCAGTAATATCCTAGTCTAATATCCCACTCTTCACAATTTAGTTGAAGGGATAGTTCACCCAAAGTTTCACGTTTCTTCTGTTCAACAACTTGTTGTTGATCTGTTTCTGTCTTTTATTGGTTGTTTATACAGGAATGTTACTGCCATCTAGTTGTTTTAGTCTCCTAAATCTAGATAAAACGGTCTGTTTGATTGAGTAAGATAGATGGTTGTGTGTGTGTTCAGGCTCTGGCCGATGAGAACGAGTACGTGCGAGACACGGCCCTGCGCGCCGGCCAGCGCATCATTAGCATGTACGCCGAGACGGCCATCGCTCTACTGCTGCCAGAGCTGGAGCAGGGCCTGTTTGACAACCTCTGGAGGATCAGGTACTGCACATCGGGCCCTCCATCACTTCAGAGACGGTTGTCATAGTGATGGATGCTGATGCTGAGTGTTTGTGTTCTCTTAGATTCAGCTCGGTGCAGTTGCTAGGCGACCTGCTGTTCCATATCTCCGGGGTAACGGGAAAGATGACAACAGAGACGGCATCAGAGGATGACAATTTTGGCACGGCCCAGTCGAATAAGGTAACCGTAATGAGCCCCTGGAATGGACCACATGGGCCCGTACATTCAGGAAGAGCAAAGTAGATCCTTCACTTCCTGTTGTGCTTTTGTTCTAGGAAACTTTGTGTAAATGTGTTTGTAATAAATTTCCCCAGGCCATCATTGGAGCGCTGGGTGCAGAGAGACGCAACCGTGTGCTTTCTGGGCTCTACATGGGCCGCTCAGACATACAGCTGGTGGTCAGACAGGCGTCTCTTCACGTGTGGAAGATCGTGGTGTCGAACACGCCGCGAACGCTACGAGAAATCCTGCCCACCCTCTTCACGCTGCTGCTGGGCTTCCTGGCCTCCACCTGCCCAGACAAGAGAACGGTACAGCCAATAGCCAACTACAGTCCCTTTTGATTTTTGTGGCCTGTTTGTTTTTTTGGAAATTTGTTTCCATGTTAGCAGCTACATCAGAATTGTAGTTTGTTGTCGTTTGGAAAGCAGTGTGTATTTAGTATCATAATAATTGTGCTGTAATGTTTTTTTATTGTGATTTATTATATATTCTTTATTATTTTAATTCTAATTTTTTTTGTCTAGATTTTGAGGAATAAAATACAGTAATGGCGTTTCTCTCCTGCAAGAATATGACGTCAAAAAGTTTAACATAAACCGCTGAATTGTTAAAAAACTTTAAACCGTTTGATATCAAAATTATTTGACACTCTCGTTATTTTCTGAATAAAATGATCATCATTAATGGTTATATTTGAGAAAATAAATATTAAGAAATCTTTTTTTAATTATAAATTAAGTAAATATTTGTTTATTTTAATATTAAGAAAACTACTTAATATTTAAGAAATCATTTTTGTAATAGCACATTATAGTAATATAAAAAAATTTATTTAATATTTGAGAAAATGTTAAGAAATGTATTTTCTTAATAAATTGAGAAAATATTTGTTAATTTTAATATTAAGAAAATGTCTGCTTAATATTTAAGAAAACATTTTTGTAATGGCATATTATTATTAAAGTAATTCATATTTAAATTAATATTTATTTGAGAAAATATTAAGAATTTTCTTAATACATTGAGAAAATATTTAATATAAATATTAAGAAAATGTTTGCATTGTTAATATTTAAGAAACAAAATTAATAATTTGCAATAATATTTAAAACTGTTTATTTTCTTAATATTTATTGAGAGAATAAATATTAAGAAACTTATTTTCTTAATAATAAATGTATTTTAATTATTTAAATTATCGAATAATTTTTTTAAATTTTAACATTAAGAAAATGTTTACTTTTCTAGTATTTAAGACATTTTTTGTAATAGTACATTATTATTATAGTAATTAATGCTTAATGTTTATTTTCTTAATATTTATGAGAATAAAAAATAATATTTATTTTAATAAGAAAATCTTTACTTGATATTTAAGAATTTTTTTTTATAATATTTAAATACTATTTAAAAATTGTTTGAAAAAAGTATGACTGATGGATCAGTCAGTGTTCCTCTAAAGAAAGACTTCAATGCCTCCATTGCTTATGTTGTTTAGGTTAATGTCTGTGTTTTCCGTCTGTCCTGCTCCAGATCGCCGCTCGTACTTTAGGTGACCTGGTGAAGAAACTGGGTGAGAAGATCCTGCCTGAAATCATTCCCATCCTGGAGGAGGGTCTGCGCTCGGATAAGAGCGACGAGAGGCAGGGCGTGTGTATCGGCCTCAGCGAGATCATGAAGTCCACCAGCAAAGAAGCAGTGAGTTGCAGCTGATAAAATATGCTCACGATTCACTCTGTTCACATCATCGTGGTAAAGCGGTGTTTTTGTGTCAGGTTCTGGTGTTCTCCGAGTCTCTGGTTCCCACCGTGCGTAAGGCCCTGTGTGATCCTCTGGAAGAGGTTCGTGAAGCGGCTGCCAAAACCTTCGAGCAGCTCCACGCCACCATCGGTCACCAGGCCCTCGACGACATCCTGCCTATGCTGCTCAAACAACTGGTGCGGCCTCCTTCCCACAATCCCTGCGTTTACTTTGCATTGCTGAGAAAATAAAGAAAGAACAGACGTTTAAAAAAATTAATAAGCGATAAAACAATATTAAAGGGATAGTTCACCAAAAAATGAAAATTGATTTACTCACCCTCCACTTGTTCCAAACCTGTGTGAGTTTGGTGGGTAACCAAACAGCTGATGGTAGCCATTGACTTGGCATACTGTGGAAGTCAATGGCTACCGTCAGTTACCAGCATTCTTCAAAATGTCATCTTTTGTGTTCAACAGCCGAAAGAAATGCATACAGGTAAATGATGACAGAATTGTCATTTTTGGGTGAACTGCCTTTTTAAAATTCTATTCGATTTTAATTCTACTTTATATTTCTTTTTTTTTTTTTATTCTTTATTTAAAAAAACAACAAAAAACAAACAAACACTAGCTTTCTATTTTTTCTATTCTATCTACTTGTTTTTCTTTGTGTGTGTGTGTGTGTGTATAATATATATATATATATATATACACACACCTTGCTACGTGTACTGCGTTAGGCTAACCGAGACTTGTCATTTGCACTTATATATTGTTGCTCTTTTGTTAGTTTTGACTGCTTTTATTGTCCTCATTTGTAAGTCGCTTTGGATCAAAGCGTCTGCTAAATGACTAAATGTAAGAAACAAAAGATAATTAATGGGTTTTTGAATGAAGAATCCTGTGATCAACGAAGCTGCATTTGTTTGATCAAAAATACAGTAAAACAGTAATGTTGTGGAATATTATTACAATTTATAATACAAAAATGGTACTTATTTCTGTGATGAATTTTCAGCATCATTACTCCAGTCTTCAGTGTCACATGATCTTCAGAAATCAGTATAATATGCTGATTTGCTGCTCAAGAAACATTTCTGATTATCATCAATGCTGAAAACAGTTGTGCTGAATAGAGTTAAAAAAGTATCAGTTTCTTTAAAAAAAATCTTGTTGACCCCAAACTTTTGAACAGTAGTATAGTTCTGCTTTACAACAGTATGTATGGTGAAAAGTGTTAAAACGTACTTTGTGCTTTTTGCTGCAGGATGATGACGAGACGTCAGAGTTTGCGTTGGATGGATTGAAGCAGGTGATGGCTGTGAAGAGTCGATCTGTCCTGCCTTACCTGGTGCCCAAGGTGAGTTCTCTTTACTAGCAGCCTTTCTTAACGAACCTGTGCATGAACAAAGATTTATAAGCTTGTATATCCAGACAAACAACAAAGTCAGCGTAATATAAGCTTTTTCTGGACTAGAAATGAAAAAATGACATTTAAAGTGACCAACCACAGTTTGTAATTATTTACAGTATTTAAATTTCTTGTATCTAAGATTAATCCCTTGATATTTCAAAGGTTTGATCTTACAAACCTATGCCACTCATTATATGTGCCCAATACCAGTGTTATTTTATTGCCATTGATATACTATTGTAGTTTTGTTAATATATTGAATTAGATTTTTTTACTATATATTTTCAGTTTTCACCGTTATATGCCGTTTTATACATAAATAATTCTGTACTAAAAAAGTATGCATATATTTATATTAGTATATGTTATATATATATATATATATATATATATATATATATATATATATATATATATATATATATATATA